TTGACAATTTAATCGTATTTATTAAGAGATGCAAATATTTAACTAATAAAACGATGGTGTGATATTTTTAAAGATATGAAATCTTGCAAGCTCGCTTCACATTACTGGCCTATACCCTAATTCAGTTGTACTAGAACTCAAAATTCCACATTTCTTCATTCTTCTCTCTCTCTTCATACTCAACACTTAATAAGAAATGACGTAAATAAAAAACATGATATGCATTAAATATGATAACTGTTAGAGATCAAAACTGATAGATAGACATGTGGCTCTCTCATGTAAAGGCGTGTGTTTTTGGGCCTTAGCTCGCTCAGACATGTCGAGAACGGGAGGAAGGACTAATGTGTCCTTTAGCAATGCTCAATTTGGTTTTGACTCGAGGAAAACTTCGACCAACGAGAAACCTATTGGCATTCTGTAGAATGACTATTTTATTGTCGAAGGATCTTCCATTTGTCGACAGAAAATATGTTGAATGAAGGGTATGATTGTCACAACAGAGCTACGATTCTCAATACTCCCCTTGAGTATAAGAGGCAAATTCTCACATTCTCGAAGGTACACAATTTCCTGCATTTTGTTTAAGTTCGACTCAACATCAGCTCGAACTAAGTAATAACTTAAACTTCAGAGTGTATGAGCTCTGCACGGGTGCATGCAAGATTCTTCTGGCAAATCACTAGCCACACCCACGTCAGTCTCTACATGATTGGACCCTTTGCTGGTGTGTCAAACAAGTTCGAATCACGAATCAACATTAATGACTTGTAATGATAAATAAAATTTACAAAGCTCGACAAACGCAAGGACCAAACTGAAGTTTACTATGTAGATCGAATTTGTAATTTAACATTTTTAATGTGTTTCAAAAGGTAGATAATTATACAACACAAGTGGGTAAAATAAATGGGAGATATTTATAACAAAAAACTAATATAATACATAAAGTGATATAAAATGGTAAAAAGATGCCACGTAAAAAGATGAAATGGACAGGTAGGAAGTAACGTGAGCAATTAATTGCCACGGTGGCAAAATCCAATAACCCAACAAAAGGCAGTACCTCCATCCGTACAAACTATTTTATTACATATTATAAAATGATTTTCAATTAGCTTGGCCATTCAAAAGCATGCCTCCAAATTTATCTTTGTTTAATTGGTTAATTTTTAAAATTTTTTAATTTAATTTAATCTGATATTTTTGGGGGATGTGTCACCAAAAAGAGAGATGGATATTATATATTTTATTAACCCAATTGAGATTGGTGGATTAGTTTTCAAAAAAAAAAAAAAAAGATTGGTGGATTAGTTTTTAAAATGAATGCACAAACAAACCTAATTCTGTCTATCTTCTTTCATTATTTTATGTTGTTTTCATTATTTTTTAAATTTATATTAGATATTATACGTGCATCTTTAACAAGTATTTAGAATAGAAAAACGATGATTACTGTATGCTTCCCTTACAAATAGAAGAACTCAACCATTGGTACTACACAGAGTTTGAAGAACAAAAAACCAAAATTCCTCGTGATTAATAAGTACGTCCCGAAGACATGCTGCCTAGCTTTTTGTTAAGTCCCATTACATTTTTTTTTTATTTTCACATAATTTGGATGGTACTGTCTATATAGGTTTTGCTTTGATGTTCAAGTCCATTTTGAAGTGGAAACGACAGAAAAGATTGAACGAGATTAGAATATTCCAAACCACATGTAAATTAAAGTGTTGAACTCAGCTTGAATAGGGTGATGCACATAATGATGAACATGAAATTAAGAGAGATTAATTAAGGGCATATGGGATTAGGGAAGAAGAAAGGGACAAAGTTCCAGGTCTTGTGGATGACAATAGAAAGAGAAAAATGATTCCAAAAATTGATTTTGATTTGATGCCAAATGCAAAATGCGCACTACTGTTCCTCTTACTGCTACTAATTATCCCCACTATCCTTTTCTTTCCACTTTCTCATCTCTCTCTTTCCCCAAGAAAAAAAAAAACCTTTTTATGGGGAGGGACTATTTGGATATTTGATTCTGTTTTTTGCAAAAGTATTTAGGTACTGTTAATAGAAAGAAAATAGAGATCGGATTAAACAAACCAAAAAAAGAAAGAAAGTAGAAGGAGCAGACCCGAAGAGGTAAGTGGGTTGGGGCACAGCGACTCGGGTCGGCCGTGGCCGATCCGGGATTGGCGCCAATGGGTTCTCGGCCACTCTCCAATGAACCCCGACCCCATGCAAGCCCAGTTTGAATCGACTTGGTCTCGACCCTGAATAATACAACATGAAGCCCACTCTGTTTAAGATCTCCTGAGTGTGTAAGGATTCAACTAATGTAAACCCTAAAGGGATTAGGGTTCAACTAATGTAAATCCTGAAGGGATTAGGACTCGATCTCTATAAATACGAGGGTAAGCCAAATTCTAGAGATATGCTCACAACACCCTACAACTCAACTACTCTGATTCTGACTTAAGCATTGAAGCCTGTGTGGCAAGAGCCACACCGGTCCTTAGTGCTATTCTGTTTTGCAGGTCTTGTCGATCCCTTTTATTTTAGAAGGTTGGTGCGAATTTGACGGAATCTGAGGTCAAATGTTTGCATCAACAGGTACTAAATTTGTTGCTTAGTTTCTAGCAATATCTACTGAGTTTTTTTTTTCAACCTTAAAATTTTATAGTTAAACTGAAAATTTGAGTATGGTTCAACTAATTAAGACGTAGTGCGTGATGAAAAAAAAAAGAAAGAGAAAAAAAGATTTACAATTAAACTTAGTCAACTGCATAAAGTGGGTCATGAACTCAACTAATTAAAGTTATCTTATCCCAATAATGCATGCTAATGCATGCCTGACTTTCAAGAGTAAGAATTTCTATGAGACCTTTTTATTATGATGGAGGATGATCATCAAGTGGGCGAATGATTAACATAAACGTGATGGATTATCAAACTTCCTTTAGAATCATAATTTATGGTGTTTTTCAACTCTAGTTTGTTTAGCTCTAGCAATTTCAAAATCAATCCCACTTTAGGACTTGGATATTTACTACTATTCATACTACTATGCTATGAAGAATTGTAGCAATATACGACTCCAATTTTATCATTATCAATTCAAACGATTCCGATCACAAAAGAGCTACCAATCTGATTAACAAAGTGTAAACACACGTCAAAGCTAGCATAGTTGACATATATCTCAAATCAAGAGGTAATGAGTTTGGTCCTCCATCCCTATTGTACTTTAAAAAAAAAACAAAGTATAAATACACACCAACAATTAATACCAATTGGAAAAAAATTTATATCGTAACTAACTTGAACCCGAAAACTTCCAAATCCCAAAACTCTTTTGTTTTGATAACTTAGGCATCAATTGTCCCGCCCTAAAGCCATCTCCACACAATTGCAAGTGGGAGAATCATTTGAGCCTACCATTGACAAACAAAATTTAGACAACGCGCGTTTTGTGTTCCTTTTGTTAACTAAGAATGTTTTGTCGTTGTCGAATGAGTTGCATGATTGAAGTGTGTTGAGTAACAGCATTGGCAGGAAAAGAAAAAAGAGAATAGGAGAAGGGAATAACAAAAGAAAAGGAAAGTTTGTTTTGTTTGGTGGAATATGCTTTTATGTGTTTTGGCCGAAATGCCAAAGGAATTGGTAGACTCTAAAGGCTAAACAGTTTTAATTTCTCCCCAGCCCACCACATATGGGTGAGATTCAAACTCACAATCTCTCGATCGAAAATAAATGCATAAACCAATTAAACTATTTTCAAGTTGAGCTCACATTTTCCTTTTTAATCTTAATTTCCCTCAACTTTTCATACATCAATTAGATATTAATAAAGTATAGACTACTAAAATCATTATTTTACCTGATATTTCTCACATTAATTGTGGTGATCTTCTATGTTGAAGTTGACCACAACTAGGGAGTGCTATCCAGGTGGGGCTCGGACCCTCTCCGTCCCCGCCACCCATTTCAGGTCCCGTCACCATGAAATTCTTAGTTAAATTTTACAAAGATTGAGACGAAAATTTTCCTGCCCCTCCTGAATAGGGATTGGAAGTAACATCCCTAACCACGATCATGTCGATTACAACTAAAGATGTTTATGGGTTGGATCCAACGGTTCGAGTGGTAAATTTAATTAATCCAAACTATCCAATTAGAAAATGAATCCAACCAACCCATGAAATATTTGAATTGATTCAGTAAAAAAATGGGAAGTAAAATAAATGATTTAAAAATTAATAATAAATTTGAGTTGGTTTGATTAACCTAAATTTAATTTTGGTAAACTCTTGAACCAACCCAACTCAAATGGTTTGATTTACAATTCAACGATCGATTTTTTTGAACACTCAATTACGACCCTATGATGCCTTGTTATTTTATTTGTATCTTGTCAAGTAATCACAGATCTTTGGCAACTTGGTCTTTCCAATTTAGCTCTCCATTGTTGATTAAGAACTCAAGATTCTGTAATAAGAAGATTTTGATAAAAATTTCAAAATGGAAAGAAATCAAGTTTTTACTTCTACTTAAAATTATTATTTAATATAAGATAGTTCATATTTCATGATGCTAGTTTTTAGAAAAGCAAATAATATAATAATAATAGTAGTAGTATTAGATCTATTACTCTTTGAAAATCCAACTTTTTCCAAAAAGAAAAAAAGAATGAGGAAAATAGAGACCCCATCGATTAATAATTCAATAAAATAAAAAATAAAAACAAAAACAAAAACAAAAACAAAAACAAAAACAAAAACAAAAACGATCTCCTACAAATTAAAATTCTTTCAACTTTTCATTTTTTTTTTAACATCTTGAAAAAGTGCAAGTGTTACCCGCCTCAATAGTGGAGGTACAAACAAGATAAAAGCTTATTTATTTTACAACTCAACAAATTAATCTCCTGTTCAAATAAAATCACAATGAAGATAATAACTTATTTTCTTTTGAGTTCATCACAATCAACGAGGAAATTTGTAAATTTGAACCTCTGCAGAGTTACTTTATACTTTAACCAATTGAACTATGTACAATATGTCGATTAACTTATTTTCAAGTGCCCAATAAACATCCACATACATGTTTTCTCCGACAGATAATCGGGGTTGGAAATAATTTGACCATTGATGGGTTCTAGATCTTATAGATAATTTGGGTAAAAATATGTAAAAGAGGAGAGAGAGAGAGAACATACATAGTATAAACATTTGGAATCTTGGAACACTTCTCAGGTTCTGAGATAGATCCACAGATGCTAGAAATCAGAAGAATTAATTCTGTTGCTCCTTGAAATTTGCTAGAGCTGACAGATTAGTGAGGATGGGCCCCAATACCATGACCATATATAATATATAGTAAGAACATCATAAACTCCGATTCCTAATGAACAAATGAACAGAACTTATTGCATTTATCAAAGATTCGATGGTTGAATATAGAATAAAGCATAAAGGTGGCCACTAGAAAAAAATGACGTGGGATTATAAAATAAACGTGTTACATAAACGTACCTTCTTCTTTTTCAATTGGACATTTGACAGCATCTGACAACATCTGACAACGCGTTGAACACGAATCCATGGCGTTAGGTAGTGGGTGCACTGCAAAAATTCTCCAATCCAAGATGAACACTTGTTGAGGACATAGACCATTTGTTTGTAGCCAACATCAATGTTCAATGCCAACTATTGAGTCCCCCCTACTCCCAAAGGGCAGCAGCTTGAGGTTGTAGAGTTGGAAATGGGGCCATTTTCATTCTGCACATCAATAATGCAATATGGTATTAAAATGAAGAAGTTTGGCAGAAAGGGTCATATCTCTATGAAAATTTCTATCATCCAGAAAAAAAAACATCTTCAACATGTAACAGGAATTTTCCATATCTCAAACTTCATGTTCATACTCTAGACTAGTGCTCTCAGGTCCTGGTCAATAAGATCTACAAAGGTGCCAGGGTTACAGAGGAAAGGCAAGATAAACTGACATCAAGAAGCTTGCACCACAAAATTCCTCACAGAGTTGAAAATAAATTTCCTAATTTAACATGAACTGCACCGAGACGAGATAAGTAACACAAAGCCTCCTTTGAAAAGTGTTGCAGCATCAGCTCTCTACCAAATACTCAAAGGCAAAAAAATACATAAAATTTTGGAGATACATCAGACCAAATCAGATCATGAGCATTGAGTTTGCTTTAAAGGAAGATTTCAAAGCACATAACACCAGATTCACAAGAAAATTCACGACAAAGATTCAGGAATCCAAGAGCCGCTACCCTAACGAAGCAAGAATCTTCAGATTTTGGACAGCAGGCATTAAAAGAAGCGCCTGCCTCTATCTCAAAACCATTAAGCCCTCCTGAACGAAAAAATCCAATAGACATGGAAGCCACAGCTAGTGAACGAGGATCACAATAGAAGGTAAACTCTGGAGTTAAGGAAACAAGGACATAAAAGAAGAAAAGTAAAGAACTTAAAATATCTTCCAAAGGGCAGAAATACAAGCTCGTTTCAACCACATCTGAATCCTAACCAAATCATGCATTTCATACTTCTACATTTGTCCAGAAGGTGTTTCATTTAGAAATTGTTAATTACCAACTCCAGCCCACCCCTTAATCTTTCTACAAACACCAATTCTTTTCTTCATCTCGTCCTTTCCACAAAAAGTTCCTTAAATACTATCAACCTTATCAGCTACCATACGAGGTAGTTTAAAAATAAAAAGGAAGTATCACAATTAACTATTTCTGACCCCATCTAATTCAACCATATGGGGTGTGCACTGCCAAGGAGATAACAGAATAATTAATGTTAATTATGTGAATAGTATAATTTCTATAGAAATGAACATGAATCCACCTTAGATACTAATCTTTTCTTAAAAGATCCGACTCATCCAGATAACTGGCCTGGACCCGATAGTCCCAAAAATCTGTCGCCATCTTTCCAGCCTGTAAAAAACTGAGCGGTATTAGCAGTAATTATGAGCCCCAGCAATAAAATTAATTTAGTAGATAAAATGGCAAGTGCTGATCAACTCGTTCTTGCTACCAATTATTCTACTCATCCAACCCATAAATCCAGTATCTATCAAATTCCTAAAAAGATGTTAAAGATTTACCAATACCTAAAGGAATTAGCAAAATAAATCATCACATCCAAATCCATTCACTCTACAATACACATTCTCTAGACTTCAAACCATGATGTGACCAGACAGTTAGTATTGTGTGTGCATGTGCAAATGTGTGTACTATATATGAAACAAGAAATTTTTATTAGAAAAAAAAAACAATACTACAATGAGTTATCATTAGAAACAAGAGCTCTTCATTAGTAAACACAAAGCTACTATGAGCGATAGTCATCAAACCAAGTAAAAGGCAAAGGAAATTACATCCCAAATATCTTCCTCCTCCTTTTAGGATATTACAACTCAATACAATTACATGAATTTGTAAAGACTAATTGGAGTATATCCGTATATGGACTCAGCAAGCTACAAGGCTTGCATTTTTTAGATGATCTAGTCCTGCCAGGCTAAAATCAGTATCATGACAATTTCTATATGAATAATAAGATATTCTATGTCAAGCCACATAATTTAGAAAACCCAGAAACTCTAAACAGTGAGAAGAACAGAATGTAAAAATGGATGAAAACTTAATATTAATAAATTTATTTTCTAAGAACAAAATTTTGTTAAGAAGCTTAAAGAAGTAGGACAACAATTATACAGGAACAAGCAAGAAACTTGGTATTGGCACAAATTAATTTTTAAGAATTAGAAAACAGAAAAGCAATAAGATAATAAATTCAACCTTTGGAGTCTTCTTTAATTGATTAACCATGGGATTTCAATACCAAAAGATTTTTCGTACCTCTAGAAGATGGAAATAAATGAAAGAAGGGAACAGCTATTAGATAGCAATTGCACTTGCCTACACTTGAGGGAAAACCATCCTTACCAATAATTTTCAGCTGAAGCATTTACGATCAATTACACTCATTATCACATTCCAAAACAATTTTGAATCAAGTCAGAAACTTACACAAATTTCCAACAAAATAACTAATTTAAACTCATAACCAGAAAAGCATATAAGTTCCGTGCTTTGTGTGTTTCACTATTAGTATCAGGTCAAAAATAATGGTTTACACAGTAATACTTCTCAAAAATTAACTCATCAAAACAAATTAATTCCAAATACCACGGGATCTAATGCCAACCTAATAGGTGATTGTTTTATAGAGCAAGGACTTTTTCAAGACAAATTATTATGGTACTCCGTAATCATTATAAAACTCTTTTCTCACTTTAAATACCTATAACTCCTCAAAAAACAAATAGTAATCCTTCTCAGAGTGAAAAGAACATCGTAGAAACCTAAAATGTCTGTTGCTTGGGGGTGGGAAAATTTCAACCCAAGTCATGCATTATGTTACTCCAGTTCAAACAAATTTAAGATGAGTGCAACATGGGTTAAGAGTATAGTTATGATCCTCTCCAACATAGTAATTTTGTTTTTGCCTCTCCAACATAGTAATTTTCAAACTAAACCATGGATCTTCCTTTAGAAAAAGAAGCCATTGGTAATTCAAAGACAATCTTGTAGCTTTAGAAGAACATATTTATTAGCATATACTAAGTAGTTATCAAGAGCTAAGATGAACTCCAAAGAAACCTCTGCACATAAGATGTGTTTAAGGAAAAATTACAAATGTTTTTTCTTATCTTTCTTTTGTATATTGAACTTTCTTTGCTAAAACTACTTGTATGGTTACATCTGACAACTTTATCTATCAAACGCTAAATCACAATGATTGAAATTCCAAATGCTTCCAAATAAAACTTGGAAGAACCTCATTGAGATCCACGAATTTCGCGAATCATGGATAGTAGCATCTCATCTCCAGCAATTGATCGCAACCTTTTAACAAGAACATCTTTTGCCAATTTCCCAGCCTGTAATAGTCAAGCACGTACTGTTAAATTAGCATCACATTATCTTCAATTAGTTAAAATCTATTTCATCTTCTTTTTTTCTATTTAGTGAATAGGAAAGCGTCCAGCAAAAATTCTACAGCAGACTTACCTTAAATGTCTGAAACAATGTCGCAACCTCTTGAACTTTAGAGGTAGGCAGGGAATTCTTCATCTTAGAAAGTAATTTCACTAGGGAATACTTTGTATCTGTCGATTCTCTCAACTTGTCTGGAAAAAAGAATCAGCCAAACAGAAAAAAAAAATGACGATGAGATTAAGAATAATACCAATGAACCCAATCAAAAGAAATATTTACCTGCCAAATGATATGTTGATTTGAAGCTCACTATGTACTCCGGTAAAATGTGTCTATTCATATTGCTACACCATACAATATACCGTTTAGGACATGTCGGATCATCCACACCAGTGTCGAACTCTGGACTCGAAGGATGGGATTGCTGAGATCCTGCCTCAACCTTTTCAACGTTACCCAATATAACTCGACATAGAGCCATATGTTTTACACCATCCTCGTCGGCCCCCAATAGCTTAGAACTGGGAAACACAGTTAAAATGCAGCTTGAAAATGGGGAGAACATATAATTATGAACTAAAGTACCTAAACATAAACGAAAACCAAATTACCATAAATGGGGCAAGCCCACTGGAGACAAATAAACTCCAATGCCATGGGTATCATTGGCAGGAAGCTGAAGAGGCTCCCCAAATCCATGAGCCAAAGTTCCCGCCAAAGTTTCTGCGGAAGCTCCATACCATGCATACACCATATTGGACACACCACGAGCAGCAGTTGTAATCTCATTCTGCTTCTGAAACACATCGAGGCGAGCTTTTTCCAATGGCCCCGTGCGCGTGCACTGATGGATTGCGGTGATTGCAGAACCAGGATCAACTTTTTTCATCGAAGAGAGAAAGAAATTGCTCACCAACGTGTACGCACTATCTCCTTCAGTTAGCGCTTTCACGTTCGGCCAGGCAGCAAGAGCTTCAGAATCGTTAGCAATCACACGCGGTACTTTCGATGCCTTCGCTTCCACATGTTCGTTAGTAGAATTGACTTCATATTCTTCCCCGTTCATCTCTATCGCCTCCCTCTTTCTCTTCCCGGACATCCCGTCAACCGTAATTTCAATTTCAATTTTCGGATTCCAAGAGTCTCCGTACGTATTCGCCCTCTCCTCGCAGACAAATACTTTAGGGAAGAAACACTTACCATTTTCATCGATCCAAGCAACCGATCTCTGACTACCAGTGTTGAAGTCAATCTGCAACATCCGGTACAAATCAAACAGGTACTTCGATCCTTCAATTTGCAACTCCATCACCGGCCTCTGCTCGGAGAAACCCGCCCGCAAGGTTTCGAGCACTTGGGTGGGAAAATCAAGCCACGAACTGCCCCGATAAAACATGAAACGGGAAGGCAAACCACTCGTCTTGAAATTGGAGTAGTTCTGAATCAGCAACTGCGGAGAGTCGGAGAAGCTCATAGGGTTTCTCGGACAAGGCCTCGGAGAAGCCCAAACTTCAATCGACTCCACCATCTTCTTCCCCAATTGCTTCGAGGCCATGGATTCTACTAGTTTCTGTGGATCGAACGCCGGCGCTGAAATTCGCTTCGAAAAACCGGTAGAATCAAGGCGATGAAAGGTAGCGTCGGGGCATATGTATCCGTTTTCAGCACCAATCATATCCAAATTACACAAACACCCCTCCGTGTCGCCTAAGTCAAAAGTCGGCAATCGACTTTAAATCCTTAAAGCGAGAAGGGTATTTAGGTCATTCAAATCAAAGATCGCCGATTTGACGGAGGCTTATGAACGCGGAACGCCGAGTCAAGGAAGCTTCGCCGCTGAACTAAACTTACTTGGAAATTAAGTTAGCGACCTTCTACATTATTTCTTTTTTGTTTTCTTTAATAAAATTCCACGTCAGTGTGGGCTTTGCATGACACTATATTGGGCCCAAAAAAGATTTTAAAAACTTTTTTAAATGAAGGTCTAAATCCTATATTGGTTCGTATATTTTGTAATTTTTGTTTAAATATATATATATATATATATATATATTATATCGTAATTTTTAAATATCCATTCTTAGTACTAACTTTGGATTTTGTTTAAAAAACACTTGGGATTATTTGTAATTTTAGAAATAACTATTTAGTCTCTAAACTTTGCTCCGTAATAAATTAATTCTTGTATTTCTAATTTGAAAATAATTCAATCATTAAAATTTAGTAGGTAACAATTTAATCTCTAAAATAAAAAATTTCATCACAATTACGTGCTAATTTTTATTCATCATCGATTTATCGATCAACATATATAAAAAAAATTAAAATATAGATATTAAACTATTACGTAATAAGTTTCATGCACTTAATTGTTACAAATTTGATAGTACATTAACTAAATTGCATTTAACGTTTAGAACTAAATAATTTATTCGATAAAGGTATAGCGACCAAGTGTAACTTAACTTTCAAAAATTTTCCACATTGGTTCATATATTTTTAAAAAAATCTATTATGCCCCATCTATGTGTTAACGAGTGATTGTTTTGATCATCTTATTCAAAATAAGGAGAGATTATTAAGGGTAGGATTTGTGTGAAGTTTTTACTAAAATAAAAAGAGAAAAATTAAGAGCTCTTTTGGTAATCTAACGTTATCTTTGATTGTTTATGTTCCTCTTTTTTAATTAAAAATAATAATTGCATTGCCCCAACATCTCTAACAATGATAAAACAAGATCTTTATTTATGTTGGAACAAATTGAAAATTGGAACAAGAAACATAAATTTGTTTTGGTATTTATAAAATTTCTATCCAACTTTGAGAATGTTTTTAAAAAATAGAAACAATAAACATAAATAGTTATCAAATATTTAAGTTTATTAACAAAATTGAAAACGAGAAACAATAAATAAAAATGTTATCAAACAAACTATAAATGTCAAATTGGTAACATTGTCGTTTCCAAATTTTGATAAAAATAAGCATTTAATAACTATTCATATTCCCCTCCTCATTTTTTATAAATGAATTTTGTAGAAATTGAGAAATAACAAAATAAATTTTATTGCCATTGTTTCCTTTTTTTTTAAATATATATAAAAACATTATTTTATCATGGTTATTTATTTATTTTGACTTATTATCATTTTTATTTATAAAATGCATGATACATATAAAAAATAATTATAATATAAAAAATTGAATATTTAATTTAAGAATTAATTTTATATAAACATTTTATTACCGATTATCACCTTTTTTTTCTGTACAACATGTCGAGGGAAGGATTCTAACTCATAACCTCGTTGGAGATATATATGACAATTACCATTGAGTTACGTTCGTTTCGACAATTATCACCATTTTTAACACATAGAGACTAATTTTTTCTTCATAGAGACTAAAAATTAAAATTTCGAAAATATCAAAATAGATAAAAGCTTATGAAATACTACAACGTAATAAATAAATAGTCACATTTTGACTTTTAAATGCAAAGCCTTTTTCGGCGCGTGTTGGAAGCCAACGCATGGCCACCACACGGCAACAATATATCTATATTCTAAATTTCTAATATAATATTATAATATATGACGACAATAATAGGAAATGAATCGGAAACTTTATGCTATTTCGATACGTATATTTTATTCGTATGGGTTATTTTTTGTCAAATTTTGTCAGCTGTTTAGTTAAAGAAAATCTATGTTTAAAGCGTTTCTAATCCTTTTTAAAAGTTGTTTTTGTTTAAGTTTCTTTCAACGAACTATCATCACCGTTCTTAAATCTAGACTTTTTGGAGAGCGTTTTCCCTTGACTTGACTATCCTAACGTCGAGCTAAGTGACTTCGTAACCTTTGCGTTAACAAAAATTGTAAATCGTCTAACAATAAAATATAATAATCTGATTAGGAGGATTTTTTCACTTTTGTCACAGTTAAAAGTACTTTCCACCATTTTCGAAACTATTATATTTTAATTTTCGAAATTATTATATTTTGGAGTACATAAAAATACTTTAAAAAAGACAAAAAAGAAAAGTTAGATGTATCTCAAAATACTTGGTCACTAAGTATTTGTTTGAGCAATCTAGAATTTGCCAAGTGTTTCACAAATAAGCACTAGAAAACACTCTTCAATGCACATAAAACATGAACAATAAAAAGTTCAATAGAAATGTCAAAAAATTCCACGAGGAAGGGATGATAAATTTATTTTTCCGTTTCAATCTTATAAAGACAGGACTAAAGGTCAAATGAGTAAATAAGTTTAATTAGAATTACAATGTTGTGTATAACTACATCCTATGTCGTGCCACATCAATATTTCATCAACTGATCAATAATAAAAGTGTACGTATAAACTTATACGCTTAGAACAATGATTTTTATACTAGTAAAAATGTGAAACATAAACAAAATGGTTGTTTTTGGATCAACAACATGTGGAGTGAGATTCGAATCTCTAAAACCTTTTGATTGAAATATTTTCCTTAATTAATTGAACTATGTTTAGGTTGGAAACTGGGTGATGGGTACAATACTTAATAAAATATTTTTGGTTATTCAATATTATTTAGTAACCATTAAATCTACTATTGATAATACAAATTAATCAATCAATCCAAACGTAACTAAATGAACATTACTTTGATGGTTAGGTCTTATCCCACAATTGTTGAACTAAAAAAATAATAATCGAGTTATCAGATGTCAAATACCAAGCACATGGGATGATTTTGATTAATTATTAAACTTCAGCTTGCAGATATATTTTAATCAGTAATTTGAATTATTCATTTATGAATGGGAGATAACAAATGCCATATAATTAATTTGTTATCATCCAAATAATGTATTGTGAATATAGTCTCCTAATGTTTCTAAACGTTATCCAATAATTTCTTAGTTTCTATTTATAATGTTAAGCATCAACCTCTCAGTTGACTATTTGAAATTTATATTCGCTGAGCTCTATTTACGGAAATAACCCTTGCAAAAGATCTGGAGCCCAACGGCAACAGATACAAAGCCCAAATGCGACCCCCACCATCGGCCCATAACTTCTGGCCCAATAAGTTCACGCATAGGCCCAAAACGAGAACAATCTCATCTTTTGTAGGATCAAGAGCGGTGGTGCATTATGTTCACAATTTTGAATAAAAAAAAAAAAAAGCGCACACACACACACAACTTTTTTTTTTTATTTAAAAAACGAAACATGACCATGTTAGAATTTCGTTAAAATTGATAAATTTTTTTTAGTATAACATGTTGAGGAAGAGATTTGAACTCACAACATTTTTATTGGAGGTATATGCCAATTACTTATAAACTATGCTCGTTTTGGCCATAGTCGAAGTTTTTGTAGTATAACGGTTATATATCAATACAGATACAGTATATAAAGTTTGGACATAAGAAAAAAATAAAATTGAATGGGGTTGGGAATATGGGAAGATATCCCCACAGGCCACAACTAGTTGACAACACTTGTCTCAGCACTTTGTGTGTATAATTGCTATTGCTTTATGGTGCACATCACATGTTTGGTTTATTTCCTCAATTAAACCCCACACCCAATTTCAAACCCATTATTTCCAAAAGCATTCACATGCAACAACCAAGAGCAAGAGGCCAAAATTAAATAATAATAATAATAAAAATAAAAACAAAAWATATATATATATATATATATATATATATGCTTGTTATTTTTTATTTGATAATGCATTCCAAGTATAATATCACCAAATACCATTATAACAATTATTAGGTGATGTCAATGTTTAGCCCACAAATATAGAAATTGCTTCTATCATTAGAGGCTTTGAGTGCTGATTTTCCCTAATGGAATACATAATTATTGTCTATATATTTATATATCTATTGTCTCAATAGTGTTCCCTCGGTTGTGTGATTGCACACTTTTTTTTTTTTTTTTTTTAATAATATTTCACTAGTTTCTTAAAACAATGTTAATGCGCTTTTGCTTTATTAGAAAGATATGTGTAATGGAAATTCAATATCTTTGACGAAATTGGAGAAATATTTGGTCTAATAGATTTCGATCCATCATTATCAATATATGATGGGATCATATGTTATGTTGCCATGTGACGACGATCAATTTTTACTTTTGTGTACAAACAGTATTTCTTTCCGTCTCCCATTTTAGGTAATGGTGCCACACTCAAATACCGAAAAAAGATTCTTACTTGAGGAACAATATTTAATCTGAGTTGAAAATATATTCTCTTGAAAGTATGAATATATTATTTTTTTTCAATTCCATATATTAGAAACAACTTTAGGAAAAAGTCAGTCTAACCTATTACACAACTTGGTACGGTTGATTCGACTTTAGAAATCTCAAAAAAGGAATATCGATAATTCGAATTGTAAAATACCCTATTTTAATTAAGATATGTATTAAGGACAAGCCTCAAATGTTTTTTAAATTGAAGTTAAAAAAAAAAAGAAAAGAAAAGTGTAGTTGAATATTTAAGAATTGATATTCTGATCCCTAGAAAGATTGCAATGTGTAGTAGCTGCAAGAGACAAAGATGTAATAAAATAATTAAAGATTTGGGATTTATTTTTTCTTTCTTTATTTTAAATTTATAAAACTGTTCCTTTTTGGTCAAGGGTTGAAACTTTTTTAATTTAATGGATTCTCCACATTGCCAACTGAAAACAGATGCCTCCATGAATCTCATTCTTCCAACAAGGCTTTATACAGAACCATACATTAGGTTTTTATTTTTTATTTTTTATTTTTTTCCAAAAGCCATCATCTACTTGCACTATACATGTTGCTTTCTTATTTTTAAATTTTTATGTTCTAATTTTTATCCTATGGTAATTTAGAACTGACATGACGGTTTTGTTGAACAAGACTTCTTTGATGGAGTGAAGGCGATTCTTTAATGATTCTGTCATCTAATGATCATTATTCTTAAAAATAGTTTTATTTTAAAGCCACGTGAAATCACACCTTATTATCTTTGGATTCTCGATAGATGAAACATTTTCCTTTTAACTTTTTGAAATCACAGATAATCTTGATTTTTGTAAAGTAATGTCTACTCTAAAAGAACAGTGAAAATCTCACTAGAAAATTCATGATTTGATGAGTTATTCGAGTCTCTCAAATCTAATCACTAGTATTAAAGATAAGCTAGCTAGGTTATGCTTTTCATAATTATTGAAATACTTGTTGGTTCAATTGTTTTTTTTTTTTTTTATCGTTACATATCGTTTGTTTCTTTCTCTTATTCTTAAGAAGATTATGAGCCTATGAGGAATGATTTTGAATAAATTATATATGATAACCTTAATATAGAGTCATTCAATCACTACTTTAAAATATAGTTTTGTTTCTTAGAAATACATTAACTTTGAATACAATAACTTCCACTCGCGGTCATTCATATTTTGAATTCTCTTACTCAATTAAATATATTTTAATATTTTAAAATGAGAGAATCTTAATTATTTAAAAGTAACGTGTACTATAAATAAAATTCTTATCAAATCATTTATAAGAATAATCTTTGATTCTTTAAAGGATTAATAAAAGCCTCACTTAATTGTAAAAAAATAAATAGAAATAAAAGTCTCACTTATGAAATTAATGACTCCAAATCTAATCACTACTATGCATATAGTTGGTTAGACTCTACTTTTTTATGATTATTGAAGTACTTATTGGTTCAATTGTTTCTTTTTGTTTATTGTGATGAATATTTGTTCCTTTTTCTTCAAAATAAAATAAAAATATGAATGGTAAAACACGATTTTAAAGTAAATTTTAATAATCTTAACATTTGCAAAAACATTCCATCAATATATTTTTAAATATATTTTTGTTTTTCATAAAGACAAAAACTTAAATACTATAGCTACCTTATGCTTTATGTCATTCATATTTTGATTATCCTGAAATCAAATATCTTTCAATTTTTTGAAGCAAGAGAGAGTCTTGATTTCTTTTAAAGTAACGTCTACTATAAGGGATTAATAAAAGTTTCACTATAAAATTAGTGGTTTGATGTAAATTTATTTTAGCCTCTCGTTAGTATATGGAGTAAATTAGGGCTTTGTACTTATTGGTTCAATTTTTTTTTAATATTTATTGATAACCCAGTTTTCTCCTCTTCATAATATGACAAGATTATGAATAATAATTTCAAATAAATAATCACCTTAATATAATCATTCAAACAGTAAAACTAAGAGTAATTTTATTTCCACAAATATAGTAGGTCATATACCTTATATCATTGAATTTTTTGGAATTAGAAATCTAAATTTTAGTTTCTATTCTATAAAGTAACGTGTATTACAAAATATTGTGAAAATTTAACTCTAAATTAATGATTTGATGCAAATTATTGGTGCCTCTCAAATCTAACCCATAGACCCTAGTGTGTAGAGGCAAGGCTAGGGTTTCACTTTTCTCAATAATTGAAGCACTTTTTGGTTTAGGTTTAGGTGGTTGTGTTTTTGAACTTAATATATGATTAAAGAGAATTATATTATAATGAATGATATATAAATATATTTGCATTTTTGAAGTTTTGATGGTGTAATTTTGACATCATATTATTCATTTATTTGATTACTTTTTAGGAAAGCATATAGTTATTGTTATTTGTCAATCATATTTTTTAAAAAAAATGGTAATTTTAGTTGCGATGTATTTTGACTAATTAACTCAATGCATATTCTGCTTTTTTGCAATGGACGTTGACTTTGGTCAAATTTCTTTTAAAAAAATGTTTTCTATTTTATTTTTAAACAAAAATTTTCTTGATATATTTGAGGATGAATGTATTTTCCTAAAAGTACCACACATTAAAAATAGTCTCATTTTAAACCACAAGTTCTATTCAAAGTACTCGTAAACTAACACATTAAACAACATCAAGATACAAAGAGAATAAGTCCTGGTTTTTTTTTTAATGTTCATTAGAAACTAAACACTCCCACCTTTAGGATTTCAGAGTTAATTTTGTAACCACGGATATGAAATATAAATTTGAGACAAAGAATAGAAGCTATGCATCGATTCAAAGAACAGAAGGAATACCGTAAAATTGTGTTTCTTTTAGTACACAAATTGTGGTACGAGAATTTGAAGTTATAATTTTAATTACCACTAAGCTATACTCATGTTGACAGTATATTGTAAAATTGTTATTGAACCGAAAGGAGCACACAGAATAAAAGAGCCATTACTTTTTTCTTCTTTCTTTCTTTTTAAGAACGATGGAGAATTCAAAGTACATGTGAATGAGGAGATAAAAAGATGCTTTCAGCAGTAAAAAAAAAAAAAGGAGACCACTTTTATCTTTTTGCCCATTTGCACAACACAGCTTCATCAAAGTGGGATGGATTTGAATCCTCCAGAAGGCAATCATGGCTCAATAATTTGAAATATTTGTTTAATTAGTTTTAGGGTAACCCCACTTTGAAAATTTTAGAGCAAAAAGGGATCTCCTTGCCAATCACCTTCTTCCACTAATGACTCAAGATCTTATCTTTCAATTCTAGGACTCCCTTTTCTTTTTTGACAAAATTTAAAAGGGGATATTGAATAATTGTTGTTTTTTTTTCCTCTTCTTTTTCATGGGTCCATTTGGGTCTGTTAGGAAGACTTTTTTTTTTTGTTGGGTTTATGTTAAATCATTCAATTTCATCTTTTGTTTCGGTTCGTGGAATTGAATTATTTATATTAGCTTAAGTGTATACGATTGGTTTAGCTTTGAACGGTGAGTTGATTGATGTAGCATTCTTTTCAGATTTTAAAAGATTTGGAGTGAATATTTGAATAAATCTAAATTAATTTAGGCAAGTTGAGAATAAATCTTTATTTGGAGAGGAGGTACCTTGAGTATAGCTTTGAAGTATATATTATTCACTAAATGGTTGACGATTTGAATGCACCCGGCATGTTATTGAACTTGACAAAAATAAATCTTTAGAGATAAATTTATGTAGCATCAAAATTTGGAAGGTAAAGTATTTCTAAACAACTTTTTAAACCATGTTTGAAGATGTATTTGAAACAAAAAATACAAAAAATAAAAAATAAAAGAAAATGGTGTTCTTAATTCTTATAGGAATAATTACAACTTGTGCCAAATACTCTCATGGTTTGCAACATACGATTCTAATATGTTATGCATACCAATATACTAATTTAATTAGTTTGGTAGATAAGTTCTTTAAAAAAAAAAAGTTAGGTAGAGAAGTTAAAATTATTATTATTAGTATTATTATGTGTCATAGTAAAAGTTAAAAAACTAAGAAAAGCATGGTTGTGCAAACTCCACTATATTTAAACAACTTGATTCAACTGATTAAGATATATATCATTGACTAAAATGTTAGAGGTTTGAATCTCCACTTCCACAAAATTGTGAAATCTTCTCCATTTGAGATAGGGGAAGAGTTACTATACCTTATGAACCCCCTCTTTCTCTCTTTTTTGAGAATACACTCGGGATAGAAGAAAACTCAAAGATTTATTTATTCTATACTATGCATTTGTTCACGACTCCCAGAAACTTATGCCTCTAAAATCACACACCCATGTTTACAAATTCATTCCTCTTTAGGTTATTCAACACTTTTCAGTTGTTGCCTTGTAACATCTTCTTCACATTTCAATTGCAACTTCTATTCTATATATGTTTCTCTTCATCTTTCAAAAGAAAAATTACATCATTTTCATCATAATTCACCCAGAAACCGAGATTCAAAAAAACAAAAGAGATGAAACATCATGGTAAATATACAAAATTAGAACTTATATTCTTCATCTATTAGGCATAGCAAAGCAAAACATTAAGAAGTAGAGGGCAACAATAAACATTATCAAAAGAGCAACAACTTAGTCTCTCCTTTGACTCTCTCTCCCTCCCTTTAGTATTGGAGAAACCACTTATCTTATCATATAATTCATTCAAACATATAAGAAGAAGAAGAAGAAAAAAAGGTCACTCCCCCTTTTAACTTAGAATCTGGACTCAAAAAGGGCACTTTTATTATCGTGACATCATGGGTATCCTCCCACTTTTTTGACTTCTTTGAACGGTCGGTCAAATTTGCAAGGATCCACCTGTTGCAGCAGCTCTACCACCTCTCCCATGGCGGGTCGCAGCACTGGATTCCTGTAAGTGCAGCGAATGGCGATTATCAGAGCCTTAATTATCTCATCCCTGAACGACCCTTTTAGTCTTTTGTCAAGAATCTCGAGAACCCCTTCTTTTGTGTCCACTTTGTTCGAAACCCAGAACACAATGTTCTTGTTCTCTCCGTATTCCGCCTCAATCGGCTTCTTCCCGGTAATCAGCTCCATTAGCACCACCCCGAAGCTGTACACATCGCATTTGGTTGTTGCCTTGGATGAATATGCGTATTCTGTAACTTGTAATTTTGATTGTTATGAGAAATCTGTAACGAAATCGATTCAATTGAGATTTGGGGCAATTGATTGAGAAGTTTACCTGGGGCTAAATAGCCGTAGGTTCCGGCGATTACGGAATTTGTTGAATCTTTGCTTCCTTGAAGAACTTTGGCTATGCCGAAATCTGCAACTTTCGGTTGGTAATCTGCGTCTAATAGAATGTTTGTGGTTTTGATGTCTCTGTGGATGACCGGCGGCGAGAGGTCGTGGTGGAGATAGGCGAGGCCTTGGGCCACCCCCACCGCGATGCGGTGGCGCGTGGGCCAATCGAGATGGATCCACCCTCTATGGAGCGCGTCCCAGAGGTTGCCGTTGGGCATATATTCGTAAACCAGAAGGCTGCAATTTAGGCCCGAGAAGTAGCTATAGAGTTTCACGATGTTCTTGTGCCTTATACTGCCTAGTGTTTCGACTTCCGTTTTCAATTCCTTATCGAAGAGATGTTTCGCCCTTCGATTCCACAGCCTCTTCACGGCGACGATTTCTCCGTTTCCGAGCTCGATTTTGTAGACCGTTCCGGAGCCCCCGTGGCCCACGATGTTCTTTTCCACCATGGCTTCGAGAATCCCGATTTGGTCGAACCTCTGCAAGTGGAAGAATAACGAAGAGAGGGTTTCTTCGTTTTCGATCTCTGCTCTCTTTCTCGAAATCCGGCGTTTTAGAAACAGGGCAGCGCCGGCGAAGAAGATGAGCAGTGGAATCCCGATCGCCCAGATGAAATTTAGGCGTTTTTGGAAGGAAAAATGTGAACAAATGGGGAATTTCTGATCTGGTGAAATGAAATACGCCGGTGGAACACACAGATTAGGGTTGCCGGAGAAGCTATCGGCCAACCCCTGTTTGATCAGAGATGGAGGAATTGGACCTGAAAGTTGATTGTTCGAAAAATTCAGAGAACTCGGGAACAATTGGCTCAAACTTTCTGGGATTGTCCCGGATAAAAGATTATTGGAGAGATCGAGAACGTTGAGGGATTTCAACGACGAAATCGAATTTGGGATTGAAGAATCCAGCTGGTTCCCCTGTAACATCATCAGATTGAGTTTCTTCAGATTTCCAATCTCCGGTGGCACCTGGCCGGAGAGAAGATTGTTGCTGAGATCAAGCTTCACCAGATTGGTAGCTCCTGAAATCTCCGGGGGTATAACTCCAGAAATCCTGTTTCTTTGCAAGAACAATTCCGACAAGTTCTGTGCCCGTGAGATCGAATTCGAAATCGAACCGGCTAGATTATTATGAGCAACATCAATAATCGAAACATGGGGGAGACCCAAAACTCCTTCAGGAATTGTGCCCACCACCTGATTGAAACTAATCCTAAACCTTAAAAGCGACTCGCATTCACCAAAGCTCGGAGGAATTTCTCCAGAAAGCCTGTTTTCCAGGACAAGAAAGTACAGCAATTTCCCCCCCCTGCAAATATCCAATGGCAGTGATCCGGACAGGTGATTTTCCGACAAGTCGAGGACAACCATTGGTGAGAACTTCCCCAACTTTTTTGGAATCTGTCCTGTGAGAAAGTTGTCATAAAGTGATAGCATAGTGAGTGTTGTTGAGTTTTCTAGTACACTTGGAATCTCTCCTGTGAGGCTATTGTTGTAAATCTGTAGAACTTCAAGCTTGGGAAGTTTACAAATAGATTCTGGAAGCTCTCCTGTCAAAAGGTTCACTGACATGTCCACGTCCACAAGCTCTGTTAGGTTCCCAAGCTCCTCTGGTATGTTTCCTGTGAGTTCATTGTAATAGAGTTCAAGTTGTTTCAAGTTCTTCAGTAAGGAGATTTCTTTTGGAATCTCTCCCTTGAGAAAGTTCCCACTGAGTTCAAGATCAACTAGAGATGTCATGCTCCCTATTGACCGCGGGATTTCACCGTCTAACATACAGGTAGTCAAGACCATGGATTTCAGCTTCTTCAAGCTGGAGATGTTTTCAGGCAGTTTCCATAAGTTGAGGTTGTAGTTCTCATTGAAATTCAGCACCTCGAGGTTAAAAAGGTCGAAAACCGACATGGGAAAGTCGCCAGTGAAGGAATTGTACGAGAGGTCAAGCACACGCAGCTGTTTCATTTGTGACAAGTCCGGGATTGTTCCATTGAGATACAAAGAGCTCATGTCAAGCACTTCAAGGAGAGAGCAGTTGGTGATTCCTGCTGGAAAACGTCCCCGAAAACCGGTACCAGCAAGACGAAGAACTCTCAGCTCTGGCAGGTAGGAGCATACATCTCCAGGGAAGCTACCAGAAAGAAGTTTGCCAGAGATATCAATCCCAACGACGCGGCCACGGTCATTGCAGCTGATTCCAGTGAAGTTGCAGAAGGATTTGCCTCCGGAAAGACCCCACTCAGACAGGAACTTCCCTGAGGCAGTCTTTTGCATGAGAAAGAAGAACTGAGACTGATTATCATTAGTGAGAACTTGAGAAGAAGAGATGGAGGAGGAGGAGGCGAGGAACAAAAGAAGAAAGAAAGCTGAGTGAAGAGCCATGATTGGCACAAGGTGGAGAATTGAGATGATGATGAGAGGTGGTGAGTGAAGAAAGCAAGCCAAGATGGGAGAATATAAATGGGCATCAAAATGGTGCAGCAGCAACAGCAGCAGCAGTACAGTAACAAAGCCTTGAAAATGAAAAAGGAAGGTGAGAGAAAAAAATTAAATAAAAAAGAAAAGGTTCCTGCAAGTGTACTGAGAGAGTGAGAGAAGGGGAAGAAAAAAGAAAAGAAAAAGAAAAGTAGAAAGAGAGAGGGGTAGTAGTAGATACAAAGCTTTGTATAAAGAAACTTTATGTTTATACTCCACTATAGAGAGTTGTGGAGAATAACATCTAGAGTTGGAAAAAGATTTTGAAGTTGTTTGAAAAAACAAACTACTGCAGAATCACCCCTGGTTTTGTTTCAAAGATTGCAGTTGACTGAAAGTAGAAGCTGATCAAGGAGCTTGGAAGACAGGTATGTCTGAATTAAACTTGTTCTGGTTTTGGTTTTACCTAAGAAAATCCATTTTGAAGAACAGTGCCATTATGCTCAATTCAATTCCTTTGGCCTCTCCTCCACTACCCTATATTGGAGCTTCAACTGATGACACTAAATCATGGCTTCCCCCACTTCCATATACATTTTTCACTCCCACCCCTAAATCCAAATCCTCCTCCTTTTGAAAATCTCCTCCCAATCTCTTTTTTACCAATCCAATATTTGCTTGGGTAATTAAGCATAAACTCACTTATATCATATTTTATCTTTTTTGTTTGTTCTTTCTGATTTGCTTATGAACGTTTAATAAATGTGTTAATTCCACTAGCATCTTTTACTGAAGAAAGAGATTAGTAGTGGTGGTAGCAAAAGGTAGCTTTGTGAAACACATGTTTCAGTTTTTTTTTTACTTTTCTTTTTTCTTGTCGTTGTTCTTTCTTCCAAAATTACGAACTTAGTTTTTTTTAGTACAACAAATGTGGAAGATGCCTCGAACCACTCTGGGTGGTGATTGATGACTAAATGAACTTATATAATGGCCCATTTTCATTTCCAGGCTCTATGGGTCATGGATCCAAAAATTTTGATTACAGCAGCCCATATTCATTAGTTTGCCAAAAGTTTTCTAAAGTGCCTTTGGATTTCATACGCAAGTGTTTATTAGAAACTATTATGTAAAATTCTTATTTTAACTTTACTTTTATTCTCTTTAATACTTTTTTTTAAATATATATATTTGCCATTCTTTTTCTCTTAGGTATGAATATAGGGAAAATTATTTGTTCTGCATAGTGCATTTGTAACTTTTAGTAGATTCATGATTTTAATTAAGATTGATTTTTCATCCCAAACATAGGGTCAATATTTAAACCTAAAATCTCTTATTTAAGAGGATAATATGTCTTGACTACTTATACACTCATAAAAATTTAGAAGCAATCTCTTCCATATACACTTCTCTTCCTTTTCCTTTATTTATTTACTTTTTTTATTCTCCAATTCTACTCTTACACATTTTATTTTCCAAGTGTCTCTTTTAAAACATCAAACAATATTCGATTCTCATATTTTAAAACCATTATATATAAAAGAAAACTCGAAACTAGATTTGAGAAACTTTGACTTAACAAAAAAGAAAAAAGAAACTACATTTTTTCCCCTAGACGAAGAATAAAGCATTTAGGCACGCTTATTTCTGGTTAGTCAGAGCAGAGCTTGGCCTGTAATGGCCGCTCAGCTCAAGACGCCATGACTTTTTGACTACACATTCTAAAACCCTAAACACAGACCCCATCCATCACAGATTCACAAGCACCGCGCACCATAATGTTCATAAACCCTAATTCTGGAAACCCATCTGGTGGAATTGGACTTGGACTCCATTAATTGTCCTCTGCAAATCCCTGTTCAGCCCCCACCTTCTGATACGCAGCTGAAACTCCGTCGCCGCCGCTAAAAGCTTCACCGTCTGATCGGAATTCAGAATCTCCATCACTTTCCTCATCGTGGACCCACGGAGCCCATCGGCCCCGTCGAGAACCCCCACCATCGCCACCTTCAGCTCCTCCATGGCGCTCTCCATCTCGCAAATCTCCCCGTCGACCAGCCGCCCCGCCCGCCGCGCCAGCCCCACAATCGGCGGCGCCGCCACCGTCTCCTGCAGGCTGGCCATCGCCTCCGTCAAATCCCTCTCCCTCCGCCTGACGTCCGCCTTGAGCTCCTCCAGCGCCGCCCCCTGCTCCGGCGTCAGGTCCCTCACCGCGCCCTCCGCCAGGCGGAAGGCGATGGAAGGCCGGAAGCCGCAAATCCAAAGCAGAGTCCTCTCGTAAGGGGTGAGCCAGGGGGCGGAGAAGACGCGGAACACGTCTTCTCCGGCGGCCTTTGAAATCTCGTCGTGGTACCGCCGGTAATGGGCCAGAACTTGATTGATCAAACGCAGTTTCTTGTCCTCTGTTCCGGCGTCGGAGGATTGGAGGAGGTGATGGAGGAAGGATTGCTGATTGGCGAGCCAGGACTCGTAGAAATTGCCGAAGCTGTCGATTACAGTGTGGGTCATTGATGGGTGCGCCATTTTTGTTGTTTTTTGATTTTTCGATTTCACGGCGGCCAATCGGAATCCCCGGACGGGGTGGTGGGGGCAGGGGCACCGATGATTATTTATAGTTAAAAATCGGGAGACAGATTTTTTATTTTTTATTTTTTTATTTTAGATTTTAGATTTTAGATTTTGATTGCGTTCTGCCGCCATTTTAAATTCTTATTAAACAAAATTCGGGTAGGGGACAATTTTTGTAATAGTAGCTCCCATGAAAACAGGGGACTTACGTTTACGTTGGAGAGAAATTTCTAGTGATCGCAAGTCTCCATTTCCTTTTTTGTTTTGTTTTCAATTTATAAGAAATATAATGCATTTTTGTGTTGGAGTGAATATGTTATATTTTACCCATTTTAATTTGAATAAAAATGAAATGGATTAATAACTCGAAATAGTATATTTATTAAATTTTTTATCATTTTGTATTTTAAGATTTCAAATTCAAAATTTAAAAGTAGGGTAGAAATTTCATAAGTTGAAAGTGGTTTTAAAAAGCAAAATCTATCATTGGGATATTTAATTTCAAAATTAGGTTACATACCAAACATGTCTAGATCTTAAACATTTGATAATTGTTCTTTCTTATTTATATTGTTTCGACTACAAGACATAATTCTTTTTTAATTAAAAAAAAGAAATGAAAGTTTTGTTTAGTACAACATGTAGGGGTGGGGTATCGAACTCATAAACTCTTGATTTGACGTATATGCAAGAAATGAAAGTTAAAAACCATAAATATTACCCCACATATTTTAATAGACAAAAGATCTTGCTTTCCTTGCTTTGTTTAGAAATTAAAAACTATATTATTTGTGAAAATTTTAATGGCATATATCTTTAATTCGTGAGTTTTATCTCTCATCCCTACGAAGAAAAAGGGGAAAAATGATATAAGTAAAATTTAGATTTTATAAAAAGGAAAAAAAGATTATGGTTTTAGGAAGTAGGCGATTGTCCTGGGCTTTGGATTGACCTCCACGTGGCACTGCGCTTTAACATGTGATCCATACCATCTTATTCTACATTCTCCGTATCTGTACATTCTCCGAATCTGTACATTCTATATCCATGTCCCTCGTGCACTGTTTTTCTTATTTCTTTTAGGGGATGATTAATATACCTGTTGAATTATATTCAAATAAGTGACACAATCAGCAAAAAAATTATAGGATATATTTATATAAAGCTCAAACAAAATTTGTAAGTTATTCAAAATTATGAAACTTTATAAGTTCCATTGGAGGGGATAAATACCCGTAAGAATTGCCTACGGATTCAAAGTTTTAGATGGAAGTAGAAAAATAAAAAAAGGGAAAATTTTTATTCAAAGATTTTATATGAGATAATAAATAATAAGTTGGAGATCATCTTATCTAAGATAAAATAGTATTAATGTGAATATGAACTTAATTCAATCGCACGTGAGGTAAAAAGAAATAAATGAGTATTAAAGAGACGGTTGCTTCGTTGGCAAGGCTGCGGCGGTGGCAGTGGGTGATAGGAGAAGAGAGGCGCCGTGTCGATCGGTAGGGAAAAGAAGGAGATTTAATTATATTTCCGGCGGACGGCGGTGTTGACAGTGGAGGTGAGATTTATTATATTTATTTACAGGGTTTTGGTTGGAGTCCAGGTGGCAGGGTGCATTATTTTTTAACATTTTTGTATTCTTGGCTGTTGGATTCTCTGTATCTGTACCGTATGGAATTCTTCTTCTTTGTTTACTTCACTTTTAAGCAAACTTGCTTAAAATGTCAAACGTAACTGTTGAGGTCTCAATTTTATGAAAATATCCGAGTCGTAATTTCACATGAATGGTGCCTTCAACCACTCGACCATCTCTCCTACAGAATGATTATGGWCCAGAAATCGAGTTAATAGTGAGTAGTAAAAATATCGATAGATATTTTTGTAAAAGTTAAAAAAAATAAAAAATCGTAAAAAATATTTAAAATAACAAATAAACATTTTCTAATTTCTAAATTAGTTAAAAATAATTAATATTAATATTATGTGTGTTAGTGACATTTTCATATTTTGTCGATTTTTTTTATTATAATGAAAATGTCGATTTATTCCTCGTGTCAATGTCGAACCTATAAAAACATATATCAACGTGTCGACGGATATTTAGAACTATGAAACAAACCAAGTATTATTTTATTTTAGTTATAAATCATAGATCTAAATATTCGTCGACATATCGACATATTCATATTTTCATGCATTCGACATCGATATTTCTATCATAGTATAAAAAATCGACAAAATAGAAAAGATATCAAACAAACATTTAAAACCTTGATATAAACAGACAAAAAAGGGAAGAGAAAGAAACTTTCGTTTTGGTTATGGTTATTATTATTATTAAATTCTTGTTTCTGGGACACGTGTGGACAATAATCTTATTTTATTCATATACAGAGATACTCTTGCATAATTTTTAGGTTGTATTTAAATACCGACACTCTGACAACTCTGAAAAATGCATATTAATAAGAAACATCGGAACTCGAGAAGAGGAAATTTTCGACTTACTTTCTACTTTCTACTTCTAGGTTCAAATTATTATATTCTTGTTTTCAATTTTTAATTATTATTCTTTTTCATTTTTTATTCTTTAAACAGAAATATAAGCGGCAATTGTTTTTATTTGTTTTTTTCAATTTTTTTTTGAAACATTTACGAAGTAAACTAACATGAAAAGTACGACAACTAAAATGTGGTTTAAAAAATATACGAGAATCAAAATTGAGAGTATATGGACAAAAAAATATTTAAACATTATTATTTTTAAATGATCCTGATATTAACAGAGTTGTCGAACATAAAAACATCCATTTTCATATCTTCATGATGTACAACGCGTAAAGATTTGTTTAAGATTCGTAAGTGTTTGTCTAATTAATGATTTTTTTCTTCAATATTTGGTGTACGATCAAATTATCAACTTTTAATGCAGATTATAAGATATAAATAATATCATTTTAAAGAGTTTATTTGTTGTAGTATCAAGTTAATTTTGACTTTGGTAGAGTTTTCTTTTTTCTTTGTACAGATGAGAAAACATAGGTCTAGTCATATTAAATAGATATATATTTATTATATGGCTATATATAATACACGTCTATTTTATGTCCAAATAAGTATAAATTCGAGGAGTTTCGACACATTGTTCTTTGAAATTCAATCTCTCGTTCACACGTCATTATATGTACACACATTTGCTTCATAAATTTAAAACATAGGATATTTTAAAGTCAAATGATATATATTTTTTATGTCGTATTATCATTTTGTGATTTTTTATTATACTAGTAAAAAACAATAGTTTTTATTTCAATGTTTAAAAATATAAAATTTAATTAAATGGTTAAAATTTATAATCTAATTTGGTTTTCTTTAATCTCTAAATGTTTACCTCACCAAGTTTTTTCGTATTTTCAATGTTTATCTCATAAAACAACGTCTCAATAATTCTCATCATCCATTGATGCGGTTAGTGTAACTAAAAGGATTATTCTTCATTTACTTAATTTTTTTTCTAAAAAAAAACATTTTCATGGACTTTTCATCTTTTTTTCCCTAAACATAACAATACATAAAATTAAATAAAACTTTGTTTCAATTTCTTATTTGAATCATTGAAAAATAAAATGATAAAAAAAAATAGTGAGAGATAGAGGTGCGTTCAGGACAACCGTTCTTTGCCATATTCGAGTTCCGATCCATAGCTCATCGGGAATGCCAACCGCAGCCATGTTCCGATAGATTGCTTCGACTATTTTCATCACACGATGATCACCTTACGAATGAGGAGGTCATTGAGAGAGTCCTCGTGGTTATCAAGTGTCATCCCAAAGTGGATCCGTCCAAGGTGATCCAATCTTATCACTCATTTTCCCTTTTGTTTTTCCAGTTGATTGTGTCGTTTGGAAAAAAATAACTAAAAAAGTTGAATATTCTATCAAACAATCTAACTAAATATAAGAAAACACAAGACATTGACTAAAGAATAAATTTAACATACCGAAAGAGAAAAGAAACTCAAATTTTGATTAAGAAAAAGTTGGGAGAAAGAGTAAGAAAAAACTCTTTATATAGTGGTAGAAAATAAAAAGCTACTAAACTTTTGAAATTCTTTATTAATTATAATTCAAAATAAGTTATAACTTTTTAACATACAAAGCCCTCCGTATTATAACTCTTTATATTCTAATCTTTAAGAGGAAGAGTTTATTAGAAAGAAAAAATTAATTTGAGAAAAGTAAAATTTGTGATGATGGAGATTAAATATTTTAAAAGAAATGAAAAAAGTTGCTCTAAAATGTCCATAAGAATGTTGAAATTAAAAGGGTAAAATAGGCCGAAAAAATTTCTTCCTATAACTCATTTTATATATACTATAGATATAGATATATTCTAAATTCATGCTTACTAGAGATACCGTGGTAAATATGTGAGGACTAAAAAACAACTGACAAAATTATGTAATTAACCAAATTCTCACTCGAAATACAAATAAAGTTCTAAAATCGAACCAATTGGCTGGGTATGCCGATCTGATAATGATTTATAATTTATAATTCTTTTGTTTAGCAAATTTCTATTTTTAAAAAATATAAATTATTGGATAACTGTTTTTTGTTTTTTGGCCAAGTAGGGTTCGAATCTTCACGCGTGTAGAGGATAATAGTAAATATTATATAATAAAATTCAAAAAGAGATAAATCTTTTATGCTCCGTTTGATTTCTGTAATTGGTAGGAAATAATTTCAAATTTCACGAGAAGTGAAATGATTTTGAATTTCTCATTGGAAACCAAAATGATTCTAAATCATTAAAATTAAAATTTATTGTTTGGATGTTCAAAGTATAACATTTTACTATTATGCCCTTAATATTTTGCAGAATATTATATTATTAATAATATAATATTTTAATATAAACCAGTAATTTCAAATTTGAAAAATTTAAATAATTTAATCAAATCAACCTAACACAAGTTAAAACTTGTCAATGTGATCTTTATTTTAAAAACTAAACTAAAAAAAACTTTGCAAATCTCTCGATTC